GAGGAGAGAAAACAGAGCAAAACCACCTAGAATAGCTCCCATGATAGGCAAAATCTTTGATTTTTCATGGCTTTTTGGACTTTCTGGCAACAGTTCAGGTGGTTGAGGACTAGAGACTGGATTAGGATTTGGCCCTGCTAGGCTACCAGCAGTTCCGTTCAACTTGAAAATCTCTAAGCCATTCAAGAAAGCATCGTCGTATGTTGATGAAGGACAAGGATGTAGTTCCAGCTGGAGCTCCTTGGCTTTGATCCCGTTTCCAGCCAATACGACATAGTCTTTATGAATTGGAATCCCAGAGCCACCGGCCTTATCAAATACGTCTACAGATTCTTCCGCCACTTGATTATTGATGAATATGTTGAAAACATGTTGATTTCGGTTCGTGACCTGAGCTAGTAGCTCACAGAAATGAAGCCTGACAAGGTAGCAGAACCCTGCATCGACTGTGAAGCTCCAGGTCATGTTGTTTTTCAGATTAAACTGAGAATCACTGCCCATGATACGTAAGGTAGTGTAAACCTCCTTCGGTGCAGTATACTCCGGTGTGTCTGGGGTATATTTAATCGGTGAATCAGATAAATTATAGACAGCAACCCACTTTGATGCAACCAGATAATCCTCATCTTGACGCCACGTCCGGTACATTCCGGTATCATCCTTGTTCTCAATTTGCTTTCCACCAACATTGAGACGGTACATAGTCTCGAGAGCAGTGGTGTTGTCCAAAGTGAAGGAACGGCCACCCTCTGCATACACGAGTGGGATTTCACTGCCGTGTGCATACAGGACGCTTGGCATGGAAACAATTTCGATGGCGTTAATGAAAGCGAAAGAGCCCGGTGATGGGGTAAAGGTTACATTAAGCATCTGGCTGTCCCACACCGTGACAACATACTCTTTGATCAAGAAGGCTGCAGGAGGAACCATTGCAGGAACCGTCAAAGAAGCACTAAAATTATTCAAAAGGATGTAACTGTTGGCGGTGACGGAAAAGAAGGAAGTAGCTATGTCCAGATCGGAGTATGTTTCTGGGTAGAAGTAAAGGCGGAGGAATTTTGGACCAGGAACTACGGGGAAGTTGAAGGTAAACTTAGAGCGAATGATAAGTGCGGACCAATAGGGAACTAGGGGAACAGAAGGGAGTTGGCGTGTGGCATGTGAAGAAAAAGATGTGTTTGGGTCATTGAAGGGGGAATATTTAGAGTTAGTATCAGCCTCCCAGTTGCGGCCATCCAATGATGTAGTGTTTGAAGTTGCACCACAGTTAAGAAGTATGATGTCAGTGGCGTTGTAAGCGGCGGCAGCTGCAGACAGGAGGAGGGCATGGAGGAGAGAGATGAGGAAAGTGTTGAGAGATAGTGGAATCATTTTGTAAAGCATGGTAACGCCTGTACTGGTATAACCTAAAACCTATCTTTAAAGGAAGACGTAGTAGGACTTTTCTACAGTAGAACACTGAATGGTTGGACTGATTGAAAGGAAGTGAATTTGGATATATGCTCTATGGAAGAAAATTCATGTGGAAAAGTGTGGCGAAGACCTACAAGTCTTTGCCTGAATTCTATGAGTCCTGGATAATATTCCTGTGGTTTTAAATTGATGTTATTTTGGATTGTTGTAACTTCTGTGATGAGTTCAGAAACTCAAGTCGACCTTGTTTTGACATCGCCTGACTAAAGCATAGCCAACTGAATTGCACTAGCAGCTCAGTTTGGAACTTGGCTATTGACCGGCGCCATCAGCGTTTGACAGCAACAACCAAGTTCCCAAAACCAACTGTACTACCGATGGTCAATATGATGATCGTCGGTAGGGGATTTTCCTTTTCTTCCCCTTACTTGGGACATTTTTACTGATATTTTCTTGAGCAATTTGAAGATATGAGTCTCTCACTGTGAATATGTTAGCAATTCTGCATCTCATTAATATTATGTCTTGGGTCATACTTAAGGTTCACTGATATAAAATAAACTTAGTTGGTCTTCACCAGTAATAGTTGTTTCTTCAATTTATAATGAGGGTGTCTACAAGCTAGCTTGTGTGCATTTTTTTATTGATTATTATTATTTTTTCGGTAATTTTGAGAGGCATTCTCATATCATAATCAGTTTAATACATTTAAAAAAATTTCAAGACTTAAATCTTTGGATAGTGATTAGTACACACTCTGATTTAACAAACTGCATGACACATTCTGATTCAACACACTACATGACACATTCATTAAAAAATTATTTTTTTTTGTCTGAAATTAAAAACAAACAAATTTAATAATACAATCATGAACACATGATACATGAATCGGTTAAATTGATTATATTTATATTATATTTTTAATCACTAAACCAGAGTATGCCAGAAAATATGTTGAATCGAAGGGTATACCAATAATCTTCCTAAACCCTTTACTTAATTTACACATAAGATGATATTTAGTTACTAATAAATCAAAACTTTAAGGCTCTAATTAATTCTTTTTATTAGATTGTCATTGGTAAATTAATCATCATACATGTAAAAACCACTATTTAGTATAGCCAAAATTATATTTAAACCTTGTTGGTCTTAATTATTTTGATTTCAAATTAAGTCATGCACTGACTTTTGTCTTTTGAGTGCTTCTTCCTGGCTGATTCAACAAACACATGTAGGTAATTTCCATGTTGGTTCTTGTTAGTTGCTTGGAATTGGCAGTTTATTGGAGATCGATGTCCTGCCCCGGCCCCAGTCAACATCATAACGACTTGGTTTCATATATACTACCATAATAGAGGATAAGGAAAATTATGCTGATGAAATTTCAAAAAAAGTTACGAAATTCTTTCTTTCTTGAATACCTTCTTCTAATTGTCTAATCTCTCGAAATTGAGCACACATTTTTTCGAAAAAAATAATCTCTCAAATTTGAGAAAATTGCTCATGCTTGTTCTATTTTAGGCCTTAAAAAATTAATGAATTCAATACTATTGAAAACGTTGACGAAAGATTTTTCATGAAATCATGAAAAGTCTCCCATTGTTCTCTTCAAAAAGGGAACAGAGAGAATTCTCATTGCATGCTCTCAGTACTACTGCTTAGATGCTGCAGTGGTTATGGCCACACAATATGTTGAATTTTTATCTTAATTTGATTAGTAAAAACAATTGATAATTGATATTATAGTTGATATTTATTATTAGTAAATCAAAATTAGTTTATAAACAGGTATTTTGAAATATTATAATTAACTTTTAATAAAAAAATTATATAATGATAAAAAATACATAATATGTATGACTATAACAATTGGTCATGCAGCCATAACCACGCTCCTTATATGCATGAGTTAAATTATTAATAAGATGGAATTTAGAATGTTTCAGCTTTTATTTACTTAATTATTTTGTTTTCTCTGTTCTCCTCCCTCTTTGTAATTTCGAAGGATATGACTCCGTGAAATTAAATGGGTCATGTCCAAAATATACTTAAGCCAATAAGCCGTGTATTAATTAAAGCCATATATCGATTTGTATATTTGGTTCCTTTATTTGCCTGATCAATATTCATTACTTTTTCAACTTCTGCCTCCAGATGGAACTAATTTACTAAGGAATTTATTTTCCTTTTTTTATAAATATTTTATTTATAAATTAGTAAGTGCAGTGATGCATGCTTAATTAACTGGTTGAAGAAGAAGAAGAAGTTTTATATATATATATATATATATATATAAGCTTTACGAAAAAACAGTCCCTTGGGTATAATTGTCACTTTAATTAGTTTGATCCTTTTTTTGGAAACATTATGTGTGATGGTCATCAGAGCAACAAAACTTTAGAAAAAACCAAATAAAAAGCTTGTGATTCATTAGTTATCGTGGACCAGGAACATAAGAAGATTAAGCCAAAAAATAAAAAAGAAGACTTCTTTGGAGAACTCACAAGAGAAAGGCCAAACTCTAAATTCGCCTCTTATTTCAAATAAGAGGTGGAGACAGATTTATCTTAAAAAAAATTGAGAATAAATTAGTTTTTTAAATTATCAATTAAAATTTATTATTTAAAATCTCACATCATCACATCACATGTCAGTTTTTTATTAAAAACATTCTTAAGTGGCAAATAAATTTTTAATGTCTGATACGTTACACGTTAAATAATAAATAGTTTGTTTTAATTAATAATCTAAAGAGACAATTTGTCATTGGTTTTTTTTTTTTTTTAATGGGTGCATATGTTCCTACCCTCTTATTTGGGTCGCATATTTGGAGGTTCTGCCCATGAGAAATCCCTGGGAAGCATCCAACTTCATGCTAGGAAGGTCTTCACGATTGAGGATGAAGTCAGTGGCATATTGTAGGGGAGGAGGTGGTGGTCGGGAGGAGGACATGAAGGGGTCAGAGGAGGAAGATGGTGAGAGTCAGCATTTTTGGGATTCAATATTACTTGAGGAAATCCGGTCATCTTTAATAGCAGCCTTCTTATAATAAAATTGACCAGTTCTACAGTAGAGGGCAATGGTGAAACTGATTGAAACTGAAGTACAGGATGCTTCAAAGGGATTTGTAAAGACTTAAAAAGCCTTTTGCCAATTAGAAGTTACTGCTTGGTGATTAAAGAATGGGAAAATAGGCAATTTAATTTAATTAATTAGCTCCTTAACAATAATACGTCCAGAGAATTAGGGAACCATGGGAACAGAGGGGTGTTCGCTGGAGGCTTTCGAAGGAAAGAGCGTTTTGGTCATTGAAAGGGGAATATTTAAAGAGATCAGGTTCCCATTTGTGGCCATCCAATGATGTAGTTGTTGAAGTTGCACCGTAGTTGAGGATTATGATGTCAGTGGCGTTGTAAGGTGTGGCTATGGTGGACAGCAGGAGGACATGTAGGAGACAGATGAGGAAAATGGTGAGTGACAGTGGATTCATTTTGAAGCAGAGCAGTCCTGTACCCTGAGACCTGTCTTTAATTAGTGGCATTCTGGATAATTCGGAGATTGTTTAAAAATCAGAGAATAGAATGGGCGATCGACGTTTATCACATGGTAGGACTATTCTACGGTAGAAGTCAATGGTGAGACTGATTCTAAGGAAGTGAAATATGCTATGCGGAAGAAATTTCAACTGGAAAAAGTGCAGCGAAGACCTGCAAGTCTTTGGTTGAATTCTATGAGGCCTGGATCAATAACCCTGCCACTTTAATGCCATTGACATTAAAGTCCCTTTAAATGTCACTTTAATATATTTTTTAAGAAAACAGAACTGAAAATTGACCATCACTTTAATTTGCCTTCGTTTTTCTTGGCAACATCTATTTTTTTAATGTGTATAATGGTCATCAAAGCAAGAATACTAGACCTGAAACATAAGAAAAGAGAAAAATATAAAAAAAGAATACTTCTTTGGAGACCTCACATTAATCCCTTGGAAGCATCCAACTGCATGCTAGGAAAGTCTCTCCTCTCCCTTAAACGAGAATGAGCAGTGCTAGGGGCACTCGCTTTTTGCACTCTCCGGCCAACACTTCCCCTTTCATTGGGCCATGTAAGCTTCTTTAAAGCTTTCAGCGCAACCTCTCGGTAACCAACATAACGTGGCCCAATAAAAGAGAAAGTGCTGGCCGGAGAGTGCAGGTGGCGAGTGCCCCTAGCATTGCTCAAACGAGAATTACGTGACTAATGTGTCAGATTTTGATTTGTCAAAATTGACTCCCATTAGCGCGTTGCAGTCAGCATTACCGTGAGGGTACTGTCGGGTAATTAGACTCAGTCCAAAGTTTGTTCATCGTCATCATTTTCACCATCCTTAACATATTCGTTGCAGTCAGCATTGCCGTGAGGGTACTGTCGGATAATTAGACTCAGTCCAAAGTTTGTTCATCTTCATCAGTTTCACCATCCTTAACATATTCGTTGCAGTCAGCATTGCCGTGAGGGTACCGTCGGATAATTAGACTCAGTCCAAAGTTTGTTCATCTTCATAATTTTCACCATCCTTAACATATTCGTTATAACTAGCTTCGCTATCATAATTATTGTTATCAGGGTTACTGTTCTCATCATGATCATCGTTGTCATCACCATGATCATCATTTTCATCATCACGATTGACCTGATGTTCTTATATTTTGCTTGGCATGATGTTCTTCAAGGCAAGAACGAAGCTTGACAAAAATTTCAAGGAGCAGACATCTTTTTGCTACGACATATAAATTTGTTCCTTTTGTTAAAAGTTTATTATAAGTTAGAACGTTCTAACTTGCACAGGTTAACTCAACCCGCACTTCATGGAGTTAATCTGTGTTTTATTATAGGATTTTTTTTAACTGTGCTTTTTATGATATAGGTTAAATAAGTAAGTAATGTATTTTTTGTCATTAAATTATAGAAAGAAATAAAATTTGACTTTAATTTTAATAATTAAATAATTAAATTAAAATGCATAATATTAACATTAAAATTAATATCAATTTTTAGTTTTTTTTATGTAAATTAATAACTAAAAAATATATT